CTTTTCCTTTTCTTTCTTTCTTTTTTTACAAGACTGTCAAACACTTAGATTTGGGAGTGTATGGCCAATTTGGTCATAGCTAATGAAATAGATGACTTCTAAGAAAATGTAAGTCTCCAAAATTGACCTCAGAATTGATCCATAACCATGGAAGCCACGGGGAATGTTTTCAAAGAGTAAACCTCCAAAAAGTGCCCGGCCAGTCGTTTCGGGAGTGAATTTTGTAAAACCTTTGACGCATAGAGGACATAGAGGACTTCCATGTTATTCAAGTTGTTGCCCGTGGAGAGAAGAGATATGCACCTGTCATTACTATTTCTAGAAAAACACCCAGCTCCTGTCCTCCCAGCAATGGGGATTTTCTCAACCTCGGTGATAAATGGGTTGAGTGGGGGATGCACTGTGACTATGTTTGCACTGAGGTCGGTCTTCTATGGGTCACACTCGTGTTCCCATGCTCAGACCGTTGCAGCGGAAGTTCGGTGCTTTTCTCTAAGAAGCCCAGAGCCTCTTTGTATTAGGGTGCTTACTCTCAGCCTCATGAAGTGGGTGAACCTGCAGGGAAGCTCTAAGACTTAGAGGTTTTAGATAATAGTGCCCCAGACAGTGTTTTCCTTTATCAAAGGTGTGTATAATTTATTATACTTTGTATTTCTCTGTGAGGAGATAAGGTATACGTTTCTAAAGGCTCCTAGTTCTGCGCCTCATAGATAGGGAGCCCACGTGTCCCATTTTGCCGGGGACAGTCCCAAGTAATGACCATGGTGCGCCGCCCGCTCCTCACCCCCCCCCCCCCAACTTCTCACCACCATAGTTGTTGATAGAACCTCCTTTTGATCTTGAAAGTGTCCCAGTTTGGAAGATGAATTATATGGCTCCTTTGTTCAGCGGCCATAATAAAGCCAAATGAGCTATTTCTTGGAGGCATTCGATAAGGCACAGTTTGGTCTTTCTCCTGCTAGCAAAGGCCGGCTGGCGAGTCCACGCAGCTGAAAGACAGCACAGCCATTTTTGTTCCTTGTGGCATATCTTGAGACATTTCTGATTTGTTCAAAACACTGAATTGCTCACTTAGGTGAGCCTGTTCATCAGTTTGAGAATTAGTTGACAAGGTAAATTGCTTCTTGAAAAGGCTTGATCTTGGTTGAAAATCAGCTAGATTTAGGGAAGAGTGGAACTATCCATTGGGTTTTCCTGGGAATATGAAATTGTTGCATTTGCACGAAGAAAGACACATTTTGTGTGATTTGCCAACTCTTCAATTACAATTCATTAAAAAGTGTAAAGTTTGGAAACTGGGAGCTCTGACTGCATTCACCCTGCATTAACCGACTGCTAGCTTCTATCAGATGACTGTGCAAAAGAAATGCTTACTGACTTGACAAAGAGCAGGGCTTTTGGTTGCATGAATTATGCTTGGTAACAGAAAACATTTGGGAAAATATGTATTTGTTTTCTGAAAATCTGAAGTCCCCATTCTGTTGGGAGCTCTAATTTTATTTTAATTTAAAGGAGGAGAACAGATAACTCAACTGCGTGCCAACAACTAGGGGATAATTTGTGAGTATGAGGAAGGTATAAAAGTGAAAACCTGGTAGGGGACTAACAGAAATCACACAACTGAAATGAATGTTACCATGTAATTAAAAGACTTTCTCAAAATATATTTAAGATAGAGGTACAGTAAATCTGCTAACTTCACAATCAGAGACTGTTGTTTTTGGGTCAAATGAAGGTAACATTATGGCTCATCTCATGCCCCTTTCTGTCTTCTCGTTCCAGTTGTGCTGTCTCTCTCTGTTTCTGGATTGTGATAGTCTCCCAGGACCTCTGGACTTTGAGATTGCTTTTTCTTAAAAATTTTGTGAGTGCTCCTTCCAGATATAGATCCTTTCTGTCATTCAATTCCCAGCTCGAATGTCCTCTCCCCCAAGAACTATTCAGTCTAAGGGGATTGTCCTATTCCTTTTCATCCCATTGTTCTGCATTATTTCAGCCACAGGACTCTACTTAGATTTACTTTTAAGTTTATGTAGTTTCCTTTTTTCCCACTAGCAGGTAAAATCCCTAAGGACAGAAGTCTTGTTTTATGCTGTACGTTGCTATACCCCAAGGGTCCGTAAAAGATCTGGTATGCAAAATTTAAATTGCAATTTGTGGAAAATGAGGTTGCTATATTTCTATGAGTTGACACACATAAAATTATTGAGCATGCGTATAAATTGTTTAATGAGCACATTATTGTGTATATTGTTGGAACTTCTGGTCTCAATTTATAATTTAAATTGTGCCTAACACATAAAATCTTCACAAATCAATTAACCTGGAGGCCAAAATAATACAATAAAACACAGCTTTTTTCTTTGAGGCATAATAAGCAAGTGCAAATGTTCTAACATTGCTTAGTGAAAAGGTACAACAATCCACTATTTAAGCCAAATGCAAAATTGGAAAATTTTTGTTCCTCAATTCACACAATATATACCTGCTTTTCCCAAATAAATCTTACTCATGTTGGCATAAATGAGGTAAAAAACAAAAAAAGACAAAACAAAAACAACGCCCTGAAATACTTTTCTAAGCAATTATTGAGCTTTATATTGCAAAAATATTGGAAATGAGGCACATACTTAACATAGTAGATAGAATATGAAAAAATAACCTTTAATATGTATATAAAGATACTCGAGTTTTGAGTTAGGGTAACTCAGCTTCAACTCCTGATGAAAAATACGAACTTCTCAGAGAACTGGACAGAGTGGTTAATAACTGTGCGCACATTTATGACCTTCCACGAGAGTCAACCAGGCATCAGATGATCTATTCTTAAAAATCTTTGGAAACATTCTTTACCCTAAGTCTAAGGAGACTTCACATTACCTTTTCCACTGGTTTGTTATTGCTGTTGAGAATGATGAACTGCTAAAGAATAGGGGGCCAGGGTCTGAGCTTTGTGTTTTTATAGTGATAACTGACTCACCTTCAGGAAAATTCTACCAGCATCCTGGGGAATGTGGTATCAAGAGCATGCCCTTGTCATGTGTGGCCAACAGCAATCTGCAAACAGTTTCCAAATGACATTCTGCATATCCAAGCTTTATTTGGGTGCCTACACATCCGCTCTTCTGTTGGCTGTATTACCGACTTGCTTTGAGTGGGTGTGCTTCAAATGTTTGAAAGCTTTTCCATTCTTAAGAAGCCCCGATAATGCATGTGATGATGATCTCAATTATTTTCTATCATGTTGAGTTTTACAGGACTTGTTCAGAATGTAACAGAGAGATATTAAAATATGGTTTCCTAGTAACTTTGCAATGTAGAATTTTAAAAGTTATATTGAGATCACCTAGGAGATTTTAAGATTGGCAGGAATTTTTATGTCTTAAGTATCCAGATGTTAATGTGAAAAACAGCTTTTAAGATGTATTTTGTTTCTTTGAGTACACAGCAATGAATATTCATATAATATATGTACATGAGAATTTTTCCCCTATCATTTCTCTGATTTAATATTCAGCTATCTATATTTTGTTAAAAATTCTCTTTCCCACTTCCAAATTATTGTAAACACAAAGTAAGCATTTGAAAATAGTTCAGTGGTAGCAATAATACACATTTACATGTAACTATTAAAACTTGTAACATAAGTTATCTGTACCCAAGATTAATTAGAGAGTGCTAAGGACTTATAGAACCAATGGAGCCGTAACCTGGCAATTCTACAGTTATGGCTGTTAGGACTGAGAGAGCAAAGTCTTTGGCCACTCAGTGAAAACAGAGTTAAACTGCATATTGGAGACATTAAAAGACTGTTCTAAGGTTACAAAGCTACTACACAGGGTGTAGTACAGGGTTTATGTTCCATGATTCTAAGTCCAGTGTTCTCACTGACCATATTATGGGCTTTTCATATAGACATTCTCAAATAGTGAGTATAACAGCAGTGATTTAAAATGAGGAGTTCTCTTGGTGAATCCTTGCTATAATATCTATAGCAATGAGTCTCAGATGTTACAGGTGTTCATAAGGATTATATCAAGTGCTTATTTAAAAATAAAGATGTTTGCATTCCATCTCCATCAGGACTGTGGGATTACCTGTGGTAGAATTTGGGTCTGCATTTTTAACAAGGTTATCTAAGTGACTCTGAATTTTTCAGTAAACATTTTGAGTTATAATCTTTATATTCAAGCATAAGGTGTGCAGAGAGTATATGATCTAAAAAGTGTAATGCATGTGTTGCATCTAGGATCTCTATATGGCATTGGATAATTGCCTTCCTGAATGACAAGAATTCCTAAAAATACAAGTGAATGAAAAACATATTTAAAAAATACTTATGTTCTTGTCCAGCTGGTGTGGCTCAGTGGTTGAGCGTTGACCTATGAGCCACAAGGTCATGGTTTGATTCCTGATTTCAGGCTCATCCCCAGTAGGTGGTGTACAGGAAGCAGCCAGTGATTTTCTCATCATTGATGTTTTTATCTCTCTCTACCTTTCCCTGAAATCAATAAAAAATTATTTTAAAAAATATAAACATAATGTTCTTTTTAGGATTCAGAAGGGGTTTTTGTTTAATTGAATTATCTCTGTCAAAAGTTATTGATGGCACATGCTTACCCACCATGTGTCCTGGCCAAAAGGGGAAAAGAAAAAAAAAAGGCTGATTTCAGAATAGTGATTGCCCTATCAATGTAAATGTCAGTGGAAATAAATGAAAACATTTATTTTAATATGAAAACAGATTATTGAAGTCTCCATTTTCTACTCTAAATATGTATATAACTGTCTATCAAATAGATGTCAAAAATTAATGTGCAGAATCAAAATAATCAGCTTTAATTGTGCAGGAAAATTCAGGTCACCTCTCAACCTAGATGAGGAAAGATGTCCAAATTTTATTTTGGCTATTTCGCATTCCCCATGGTAATTTGCTATTTTAATTTTCCAGCCTCCTAAATTAACTATTCAATCTTTCCCCATTCAGATATCTACACAACACCTGTTTGGCATGAGGACAAAAAGGGTTAGAAGAAATGATGTTTGTGAGTCTCAAACTAGTGTTAAACTAGTCCTTTTATCCACTGGCAAGTCCTTAACAATCTGTTTGCTTCCTATTAACCCTGGTTGTTCCAACCTGCTGGACCCCTGGCAGACAAAGTCCTCATTTGGTGACAGCACCTGCCCAGTTTCTCTAGCTCTTAATCTTCCACTTAATTCCTAAGATGAGAACATATCTGGTTCTTTCAAGAATATGCTCAAATTGGACTTGTACTTCTAGCGATGGAATCTTCTGGTTTGGATTCAGGACTGCCTATGTACTGCCTATGTAGTCATATAGACCGCTTTTTTCTCTAGCATCCACTAACTTCCGCAGAAATGCATAGATATTGGTCTTGGGAACTATTTAAGATTATGGAAGTCAAACTTGAAGTACTAGTTTTAAAGACTAAACTATATGGTTTGACCAACTGTATGGTATTTTTTTGTTTACCTTTACTGCGCTTCTTATAACTTTTGAGTTTGAACCTGTGGGTCACTATATAAGTAAATGGCAAGTAGTGATCGATCAATTTTATTTGTTAGGGTTATTATGACCTTTGCCTACAAACTGTAAAATTTAACCAATTTTTACCTGATAAACACATTTTCATTTTTAGTGTGCTCTGCTAGTAACTGAAAAGTTGGCAAAGAACATGTTGACTAATTACATAGAACCAAGTTATACTGGCAGTTATAAATATATATATGTTTTTATATATATATTTTATTGATTTCTTACAGAGAGGAAGGGAGAGAGAGATAGAGAGTCAGAAACATCGATGAGAGAGAAACATCGATCAGCTGCCTCCTGCACATCTCCCACTGGGGATATGCCCTCAACCCAGGCACATGCCCTTGACCGGAATCGAACCCGGGACCTTTCAGTCCGCAAGCCGACGCTCTATCCACTGAGCCAAACCGGTTTCGGCATAAATATTTTTACTACCTTGATTAGACCATAGACTTTGAAATTAGATGACTTGACAAGTATAGCATTTTACACAATATGTTTGGCCCACATTTTGTGGAACACTGCCTCCATACTTGATTGTTTATTTCTCACTCAGCTTTCTCTGATCATAACATTAACTCACTCAGCAATAACTTCACCCATAAATTAAAATTGCATTATTACATTTTGACAGCTATATTGATAAAATAAGATCCATAACAATAGCTGATTTATTGAGTGCTTAGCCCTACTGTAAGCACTTTCTGTTTATGTCCTCAGTCCTTGCAAAACGCTAATGAGACCAGGACTGTGATTGTGGAGCTGTGGTGCACAGAGGTTAAGTAACTCACTCAAGGTCGGGAAGGTGACACTAATTTAAATTCAAGGAGCATTGTAGTTGTCCAGGTCCCAGACAGGCAGGAGAAATGTTGAAATTAGCATCATGCCTATTTGAATATGTTAAAGTCTACTCATTTCTAGTCAACTTAATGTAAGAACAACTAAAAGAAAGGGGATAAAGATATGAATACCAACTAGTCACAGTTTGTTATGTAATTTATAACAAAGTCTTATATGAAATTATTATAGTTTAGTGTATTCAGATTAGTCAAGTGTGATTGTAAAATTAGATTAAACATTTATATTATACAACTATGTCAATAAACCAACATTTTAATGTCAAATTTTCAGTAGGTTTAAAGTATGTTTTCTCACTGACAATAGAGATAAAAATAAAATGTATTACAATGAATACTGTACATACAAATAAGTTTAGAAAAAGGATGATATTTACTCTCATGACAATTAGGAGCAACCATGGCTATTGTTAAATTACAAACAAAATTTAAACCATTGTTAAATTCTAAGTAAAAAGGAAAGTTTAGCCCTGCCCTGCGTAGCTCAGTTGGTTTGGAGCATCATCATGTGCACCTAAAGGTTGCCAGTTCTGTTCCCTGTCAGACACATACTTAGGTTCTGAGTTCACTCCCCAGTGGGGACGCATGGGGGGCAACTGATAGTTGTTTCTTCTCTCTCTCTCTCTCTCTCTCTCTCTCTCTCTCTCTCTCTCTCTCTCTCTCTTTCTCTTTCTCTTTCATCACCTCTCTCTAAAATCAGTGAAACATATCATGGGATGAGGATTTGAAAAAAAAGAGAAATTTAAAATCCTGGTTTATCTTTGTAATTTTCAGAAGGAAAGCTGAAAGTAAAAGAGAAGTTGTTTACAGTTGTGGTACAAAAGCCATGTAAGTTGATCGCATTTCTCTGGGTGTCCTGGAGGACGTGTATATTTTATGACACATTCATGGTTTAGACCAGTGGTTACCAACCGGTGGTCCGTGGACCACTGGTTGTCCGTGAGGTCCGAAAGGTTGGCGACCACTTGTTTAGACACTGCCATCTGGGAGGATGATATCTTTTTTTTTTTTTTTTAATTTTTGTGTCATCACTTGATCTTTTTTATAGTTTTATTTTTATAATTTTATTTTTATACAATATTGAGGAATACTAAAAAGGCAGAGTAACATTTCGTTTGAACCTATATAAGCCATTACATTAACTTGATTTTTCTCCTTATCTAGAACACCTTTTCCTTTTTGATGTTTGCCAAAATTATCAGCAAGAATTATTATTTCATCTGAAAAAAAATCATCATTTATGAAATAGCCACAGAAATGTTTATCTTTTCTATGAAAAATATCAAAATAAGATTTCAGTTAAAGATAGTCTCTCAAAAATATACTCCTTGACTATTTTTAAAGCTCTTTTATCAGGTGAATACATTTATTTTTAAAAAGCAGGTATAGGGTTATCTTGACCAAAAACTTATGTGACAACTAAATCCTCAATTGTTTTGAAACTCAGATATGAGTTTTTGAGTTGGCTCTAAACTTGCAAATTATAGCTTCTCATCCTTACTGATACACTTGATAAAAATGATACTAAAGTTTATTCTTTCATTTACATATTTGATTGGTATTCATTGATTTCTCATTTGTGCCAGAGCCTGTGATAGGTGCTGACAGAGGTCGGTGAGTTGGCCTTATGCTGGCTATTGTCTAACGCGATTCTTCATCCAGCGGAAGGGTACACTTGCTCTTGGTGAAGCAGTTCGTTGAACTGAATTAGAGAATTACTCCCCAGCCTTAACAGGGAAATCATGGAACTACCTTACAGGGTTGTTGTGAAATTTAGGTGATAAAACATGTAAAGTATTAGACCTTTCGTGCAGGGCATGTACTCAGAGCTCACTAAAGTGTGCTAAAAATCAATTTAAAAAAGCATAGAACTGTATAGTTGTAGGAGACCTTATAGTTTAGCTAACAATCCACCCTCCTCATTTTAAGGTTGAGGAATTTGATTCTTAGTGGAGTTAAGTAGCTCACAGAAGGTCACAACTTTATTGTTAGCAGGAGGTACAATGGAACCCAAGATCTCTTTTTTTCTAATTCCCATAAAATTTTTACTGTAGTAGCTGCAACTTTTTCTACAACTTTTTTGGTAGAAAAGTTGTGACTTGGGGGAGAAGAAGCATAATAGTTCCAGCACATGGCAGATACTCAGTTCACGCTTATTGCATCAATACCGAACAAAACCATTACCTCAAGGAAAAATTCTAACAGTATAAGAGCTTTCATAAGCCTGATGACACACGGTTGAATGTTTTTATTCCAGTTGAGCGTAGTTGGATTTCTTAAAAATACCACATTGGCTGGTGGTTCATGTGTGGTGTGATTTGCTTGGGTCAGGTCCATGGAAAACGCGCGCCAGGAAAACAACTCCACCATTGTTTATTGATCAGGTGCAGTCTCCTACCCACTCACCAGACATTAGCCACGAGACATGTTCACGCTGGCAGCCGTTGCTAAGATTACCTCTTGGTTATGGAGATTTGAAAAGCAGAAAGAGTCTTTCTTATTTTCAACCCAACTTACTTGGTCCCGGAGAATGTCAAGGAGCTATGAGCAAGTGGCAAGTTCTCAATGTGGTCCTGCAGGTAACGTCCAGAGAGAGCCTGAGCCACACCATGTAAGCACTTTCACCTTTAGTCCCATGAACCATAGAGCATTTTAACTCACTATTTCGGGAATAAGGCAGCAGTAGCCTGTGGTGGGTCCAAGGAGAAAAGTAACTTTCCGTTCTGAAAAGGAAAGAAGTTCTGTTTGTGCTTGCCTCTCCTCATACTTCCAAGAACATGAAAGGATTTTGAGGTACTGTGGTGTTTTTCCAAGATCAGCCTCAGTTATTGCCCAAAAAGCTGCACACTTCTTTTAATGCCTCACTCACAGACTTGAAGGAAAGAATGAAATCATCAGCTCAGTGGGCTGTGGGTCTTAGATGAGTAATTTTCCAACTTAGGAAGAGAAAAAATAAAAGGAGGAACAAGGGAAGCACAGAGGAATTAGGGGCAATATTAATTCTATTTGGGTGAGGACCCATTTGTTTAATGATGATATTAATCCTTGAAGTTCAGGGATAAGCCTCTTAACTTTTCTTCTATAACTGTAAACATACTTATCATTTTGTGCAACAACAGTATAGCGTAAGGCAGTGATTCTTGGTGGATAAGTGGTGGGGACAAATTTTGCCCCCCACCCAGGGAGCATTTAGCAATGTTTGGCGACATTTTGATTGTCACAACTTGAGGGTGAAAGGGTGCTATTGACACCTAGTGGGTGAGGTTGTGGTTGTAGCTAAACATCCTACGATGCACAGGACAGCCCTCATAGCAAAGTATTATCCTGTACAAAACGTCAATAGTGTCAGAGTAGACAAACCCTGGTGTAGGGGCGAAAAGCTTAATTTAGGGAGCTAGACTGATTAATTTTCAATATCCAGAGAGAGCCTGAGCCACATCATATAAGCACAGCAACCTTTAGTCCCATGAACTATGCAATGTTTAATACATTAATTAAGTTTCACTCTTAACTGGTAGCCTTGGACAACTTATTTAACTTCTGTTCCAGGGAGGATGATATCTTTACTTGATGGCATCCAAGTCCAAGAGTCTGATGTGAGGACAAGGGGGGAAAGGATGTCCTATCAGGAAGGCACAATAAGCCTGTCACCTGGGCTCTCTTCTCTAGAGAGAGGAACTCATATTTTCCCTAGTTTTCAGTCTCAAATGTCTGCTTTATGAAAGCATCCTTCTTGTAACTTTAAACAATTCTAGACTCTGCAGTTTCCTCCAATAGTTAACATCTCCATTTATGTAAAATAAATGATTGCAATTGTGTGTGTTTTTTAACATATTAAAGCAAAATCATTTTTATGGTAGAGAAATAGAGTTGATTTTCTGAAGTGGTTACAGAAAAATATATTACTACTTTAAAAAGACAGAATTAATGAAGCTGTACATCAGAAAAGTAATTGTAAGCTTCCCTGAAAGGACAGATTCTCATGTAATCGATGTAAAAGGATGGCCCGAGGAGATAGCTTGACTTCCAGCTCCAACACTGATCATGAGTGTGACTTTAGTCACATCCCTAGTACAGTTTCCTTGTATAACACGCGGACAGTCAAGGATATGATCAAACACCAGCACATACACAGTGCTGTGGATATTGCTTAGCACACGGATACTCAGGAAGTGGTGGATTTCCACTTGCAGATTCTTTTCCTATTCAGTGATATTGGTGATTTGACACATACCTTGGCTGCCGGACATTTACATTATCCCTTTGCCGCTGTGCAAACACCATGAGATAGGAGAGAAATGAGATACGAGGCATATGATGATAATGGCAACTGAAAAATAACATTTGATGTAAATGTTACAAATAAAAATATAAAGGCCCATTTAATTTAAGTAGTAAGAAATCTAGGTTAATAAATGCATGCGATGCATTATATTTTCTTAGTTGGATGTTGTTGGGTACTCTAGCTTATTTGCAGAAAATGATATTCTGAGTAAATTTAAGGATTTAACCCTCTTTTCATTGTTGTTGTTTTTTCTCTGAACCTTGGAAGCTTTAATATGGAAGTACTAACTCAGCTGAACCCACATAAAAAGGAGATTTACATTAATGAATAATTAAATATAGTATCTGAAATTAAAATCAGTCTCATTAAATAAACACTGTCTATTTTTCTGGCAAGTTATTTAGTATACCCATGTGAGCAAGATTTATTCAGGATGACAGTTCATTGATCACAGTGGTATCTGAAAATACTTGGGAATCAGTCGGACTTTTGTTATTGGCAGGAATACATCAAAATCCCAAGTATGAAAAAAAACAACGTGGGAAGTAAAACTAGTCTTTGAGTTGTCAAGAATGTCTCTTTTCCGCTTTTACAGCAGGGATGTTAACAATGACATCACATATGTAGGCATCCCAACATGCATGTAGGACTATGTTGAGAGGGATACAGCGAAGACTGGAAAATTACATGCTGTCTCCTCCACAGGGCTGAAGATCTCCTGGGCCTCTTGATGTACACAGTAGATTCTGGTCAAAATTTAAAGCACCCAGCAGAATGTCCTAAGTTAGCTATTTTGGAGCACTGATTATGTGTTGTACACTTTCAATCCCCACAATAGTCCTATAAAGTGAGTTGGTTTTTTTACCCTCATTTTGGCTGCCTATGTTTGTGTAAGTTATTTAACATTATGAAGCCTCATTTTCTTCATAAAAACCCAAACAATTGATTGCATAGATATCATGGGCTTATTTTGAGGATAAACTAAGATAATGTGCATCTATCAAATGACTTGGTCACTTGGCACAGAGTAGACTGAGCATGTAATCATAATTATTGTCACTAAATTATACTGACCATTGCTAATGAAACTAAGAGAAAGAGGAAATGTATTTGGTGTGGTTTTATAAAATAAAGCCTTAGAAGAAAAAGTCTTTGGTTTGTAGCTGAGCAAAACATTATATCAGAGATTAATAATAAAAAATATATTGCATCAGACATCAGGATGTACTAAGACCCTGATTTCTTTGGAAAATCTTTTAATAGTGCCAGCTTTGTTGCTTCGAACAACTTATAGAATGTCTTCATATGTTTATTTTGCTCATCTGAATAAGCAGTGACATGTAATCAATAATCTTTGATCCTTTATAATTCATAGCAGACATAAAATGATTAAAATATCAGTATAGGCTGTATTTGATTGTGCTATTTAAAAACATCACAGGCATACTTATCAAAAGAAGATACCTGTGGTATCTATAAGGAACTTAGAACAATTACCGTGGGCACTATTGATCTAAAGAATATTAATGATGGTGTACCAAGGATTCCACATTCTTCTGGAAAACAGATTCGCTCATTTGGAAGTTTGCCACATGCAAGGCAATCATTTCTTTAAAAACTTTAAATGACATAATACATATTTTCAAATGTAGTCTCATGACCATGAGAATATTTTGTAATTATTTTAATGATTTTTTATAGGGAAGTGATCAAAGAATGTAAATAACTATAAAACATTCATTTAAAAGTGAAGGAGGGGTAAATGGGGGGAAAAGGGACAACTGTAATAAATTTCAACAATAAAAATAAAATAAAAATAATAAAAAATGGACCATGAAGCACAAGAAAGAATTTAACTCTTAAATCCAGTTCTCTTAGGAAGAGTTGGAGGCAAGTTGTCATGGATTTAATGAAATAGTAAATCCATTTATTAAGGAAAAATCTATGTTTTTAAAAGGCCATTTTATTAGAATTAGAAATAAAGATAATTTTTTATGGCAGTTAATTTACCTAATATATTAATTTTTTAATGAATAAAGTTTAGGTTGTATGAATTCTACATGTGAAAATTAGTGGCACTCATTTTTAAGAAGAGAATCAACTATGTGCTTACTGATTCTTCAGTGATTGATTACAAGGTTTAATTGATTTAGCTTTGATAACAACATGGAAAATTAACTGATTTATAATTGATCAAAGAAAGGTGGGAAATTGATGTGAATGTTTATCATCTGAGGTTTCTTTGCTTCCATGATACAGTTCTAATTTTCTTTGTACATTAATACAACCCTGTCTGTATTACTTTTTTTTGTGTTAAGCTCTATATATCAAGCTACTTTTAAGGGTACGTATTTTATCTTAACATGACTATGAGTTAATAAGCTTCAGATCTAAGAGAGCAAGTCTGTTCTCAAACAGAAGTTTCTCTGTAGAAGTAAATCAAATCAATTAATTAATTAATTAAATCTGACTGTGAAATTCAGTGCTTTGACCTATACTTTTTGGGGGAAAAAAGCAAGGAAGTTAAGTACTGTCTGAGTAAACCTTTTGTGCATAAATGATCTTCAAAGTCAACCTTTCAGAGTAAGGTCATTTCAGAAATGACAGAAAGTCAATGGAGCAATAATCAGAGAATTGTTGCTTTATTCAATTAAAGCCCCACTAATGGTCTTTAAGTCATATTGACTTGATAAGAAGATGGCAAGGGAAATAACCCCAAAGTTACAAAGGTCCTCTGAGGGATAATAGTTGTAAATTGTAGACAAATAAACATTGAAACATCATTTCTACTTCCAGGTCACTTGGAAATGACTTTGCATATTGTATGTCATATGGTCTGTCACAGTTTACAATAATGAAGACAGAGATCTCACTCTTGCTTATCTTCACATGGGCTTAGTAATTTCTGAAAATCACTTAGTGTTTTGGAAATCGACTTGCATCCCCAACACCCTCTTCCTCTTTGTCTCTTTGTCTTTCTTTCTCTCTTTCTCTGTGTGTGTGTGTTAATTAGTCAAATGTGTTTATTGCCTACTTAATATTGCCTGAACACCATGTTGTGGAGTGGGTGGGTGGTGGGAATTCAAAATAAGTTAAACTAAGCCACTTTGTCTTCATCACACACACACACACACACACACACACACACACACACACACACACACCTGCACTCAACGCACACATGCATATAATATGTGACACATGGCTCTTATCCTTAAGAAAATCTCATTTTAGTTAAGGATCAAGAGTAATATGAGCAACAAATCTAAAGAACTACATAAGAAGTGCAGTGCCTCAATCCATTGGAAACTAGTGTTTACAATTTTTTCTCATTTAACTTCAGTTGTTGTTTTTTTAATTTCAATGAATTCATTATGCATGTAGTTTACATTCTGAGGTGCTTCAACATATGAATTTTGTGGGGACACAGTTCAGCCCATAACACCTGCCACCAAACCAGTCTTTGGAGAAAGAGGCCAGGATGCCAGGCTGTTGCTGGGAACTTTCCTGGGAGTAAATGTGGGTGATGACAAGTTCACAAGCAGTGGCCTTCAGGTAATGTGGGTGGAGGAGAGTGACTAGGCTTCGTGAGCAGTGTTGTTGCTTCTGAGAAACTGGCTAGAGGAAGGTAAAGGATCAGAGCCACGCATGCTGGAAATCCAGTATCATAGCTTTGCTTGAAAATCAGCCTGGAACATGGCCTGGAGCTACCCTATCACTGCCTTGCCTCCCCCATAAATAAATGATCCAGGACTCAAAATAAGAAAGTATTGAAAGGGAACCAGCATGAAATCTTTACAGAAATGCCACAAAAATAAAAATAAAAAAAGAACAAGACAAAAGAGAAACCAATGAAAAAAATCACCAGAGAATAGAGGAGAAGTGGTACAGAAATGAAAAGTTAAACAGTAACAGAAATGTGGCAAGAAATCTGAAATGCATTTTGTTAGTACCTCTGAACAAAGTAAGGAACAGGAAACCATTCAAGAATACAACTGAAGAAAATATGTTATTAAAAGAGAAAGCTTGAATCTACAGAATGAATGGATCAAACATATCCTTAAGAAATTAAGGGAATAATTGCATTTGAGACATAGCCTAGTTACCCTAGTAAAATTACTAAATGCTAAAGAAAAAGATATTTGCCCTAAGCAGATACATAAAATTCAAGTCATCTATAAGACAATACTGTTAATTTAGTCTTATAGTTACCCACAATGGTCAAGACTAAAAGAAAATAGAGCCTGTAAAGTTTTCTAAAAACGGTGTAAGTCAAAGAGTTTATAGACCAAAGCAGGTAAGTGTCTACAAAGGCAGCAGATAAATACTTTTTTGAACACGAAAGAAATCAATAAATACAGTTTCCATGGTCTTTGATGAAATTATAATGATAAAAATCTAACAACAATAATTTAACAAAGACTGGCTGTGAACACTGAATCCAATTAAATGTAGGACAAAAGACTCAAATCACTATGTGAATTATGGTTTTAAAACAGAATGTGGAAGTTCTAAGTCCTGACAATGCAAAAATTACGTCTTTAAAGGCTGGGCTTGGGAGGAGGAAAGAAGAGAAAAGTGCACAGACTCTGCAAGCATGTGGATTTATAAAGCTGAGGCTCAAAAGATATAATTTAAAACTCATAAAGCAGGTAATGTAAGTATTAGTATACTTAAATAGCATGACGATAACCATTAAGAAAATGATATACTCAATGAAATTGAGAGGGGAAATATGTTACTTAAATTGTTACTTACAGTTGAGAAACTAGAGAGAAAAGGAGATTAGAATATTATATAAAATTATAGTTATAAGTATAGCCATGAAAATAAAAATGCATCTAATTATCAGAAGGTAAAGAAAGCAAAGACTGTATATATAGAGAATATAACCTGTGATGATAGAAGATCAAATATATCAATAAATGTAGATGAATATAAGTAGACCAAACATCCTATTAAACCAAATGACTCATCAATTGGATTTAAGAGGCAAAAATTCAACATGTGCTGTATGCAGCTGGTTCTGCTGATTGCTTTGTTGGGGCTGGATTTGAAAGTGCTAAGTCTGGAAATGGGAAAACAGTCAAAAAGCTATCACAGGTTTTTTCACAGGAGAGATGATGGGGTCTTGATCTGAGATAGAGGGTGGATTTAAGAAATCAGGAGAATCTCAGAGAAGAAGTATTTGTTGTTGACTAGATGTGGGATTGAGAGAGAAAGAGGGTGTCTCCAAGTTTTCTAATGGGATCACCTTCAACTGAGAGAATATTAGTAAGGGTTTTGAAGAGAAAGATGGTTCATTTATCTTCATCTCTTGAGTTGGATGGGTCTGTGGGCTACCTGAGTAGATCTGCTGGGTGCATATTATCTACATTAATCCAAATCTCAGTGGACAGGTCTAGGAAGAAGGTAACGACTTCGGAACTTTTCCCAGTAGAGGGAGTAGAATAATGTGATATTTATGTCTAGTGTGAACCGTATGTTAAAGACAAAAGTAAAACTTAGGACAGTTCTGGAGTTCAGCATAGAAGGAGGGCAATAGAGATGGAAAATGGGAGGGAGATGAAATCCTCTTTTTCTTTTTTTTTTTTTTAATTTTTTTTTTTAAAAATATATTTTATTGATTTTTTACAGAGAGGAAGGGAGAGAGATAGATAGTTAGAAACATCGATGGGAGAGAAACATCGATCAGCTGCCTCCTGCACATCTCCCACTGGGGATGTGCCCGAAACCCAGGTACATGCCCTTGACCGGAATCGAACCCGGGACCTTTCAGTCCGCAGGCCG